CATCAGTTTTCTCTACGGGCAACTCTAAAGTACAAAATACAGCATATTGTTTCCAGTGTGATAGAAACTTCAGAAAAGCATGAACTTCAAACAAAAGACAGRAGGCTTTAAACAGAATTTTTATAATGCAAGGGTGAACTTCCTTACCCTTGTGAGCATCACCACACATTTCCAGAATAATCTTAGAAACCAAACCTTGAGCTTGACAAACAGCTTATTGTTTTTATTCCATGAAGATTGATCACAACACGATGCAGTTTATTTTTTTTCATACATGAGTATAAGCATATGCCTAAATCTTCATAGGATTAAAGACAATCTGTGTAAAGAGCTATTCAATGCAAATAAAAATCTAAGATACTGGATAATAGGGTCTTCTGCATCTATAAAAACATCAGACWCCAGCTGCAGAGTCACTGACACCAAAATCTATCTAAAGAGATTCYTACAATAGTTTTATGTATCGTTTGTAGTYACACTGAGGGGGATAWTATGGAACCTATTTCCCTCAGCATRCAGATGTGAACATAGAACAGCCTTGTCTGCTGGATGGCTTATTCTAACTACACATGTAAGGCATGTGCATTTCACACATATTATTTCAGAGGGATAAAACAGTTCTGTTTCACTTTTCCTATGAGCAACTGAGCACAAGAGAAGTCTCTATTTTCAGTTATCTGTGCAGAAATGGTGTGCAGAGCTATTTATTTTAAACAGATGAAATACACAGTAATGTAAAAACTGCACTGACCTCTTCCAATCACAATGTGCACTTCAAGCTTGGTACCTGTTAAGAAAATCTAGTTGGCCAAACCTTTTTAGAAGCTCACACTGGCTATTATAAAATTAAGCTGTATGTTATGAGGGCATGCCATTACTTTTAAAATCTTTCTTCTTTAGAAAAGAGTATCTGATCTGTTCTGAGCAGAATGAAACTCTGYCTGGCTTTATTAGTTCAGGGTCAGATGCTTCTGTCAGTAATGAAACCTTGCTTAAGTCCTTGTTTCAGTGTCCCTTTAAAAGCCATSAAAGAAAGGGGCAGGAGGGGAGAGGGGAAATGATATGTCTGCATAGCTCACTGTCAAGCAAAATGCAGGCCCCTGTTCCATTTATCAGCACATATTTTCCAAAATTTGCAATATGATGAATTTACAGCTAATTCTKTATGCTTACAGCATACCTGCCACCTGGTATGTTCAAGGAAACTGGTCAAGAATCAAGCTCATTATTTTCACTTGCTGATAGACAAGGTGGTGTAACCAGAACTGAAGGGGAGGTGTGCAGATTATAACAAAGAACAGCGAGTATGTTTGCCTGTCTAAACCAGTTTTTTCCTTCTATTCTGGACAAGAAACAAGTAGTGCTTATTTAAGTACGACTAAGATTCCCTAGATGTGTTTCTACAGGAATAATAGCAGCATTCACCCATATAGGCCAATAGAAGTTAATTTTTTATAACTACCTGCTTTTCCACTGAGTCCTTAAAATCTGGAAATACTGTCAGCAGCAAGGCATTCTACTTTCTCTCTGCACTGCTTCATCTCATCACTGGTTACTTTCTTTTGTAATTTATGRAGTTTTTATGCAAACTACTTCTGGAGTGTAGCAATGAACAAATGGGTGGAGGCTACAGTGCTCGGTACTTGCCTCTACAAGACTAAACAGCTAATAGACATTTGTTAGAAGTGTTAGCTTGAAAACCTAAATGCACTGTTGCCTATATAAAGCAAATCTTCATATGYAGAAAAATTTCTATTCAGCCATATTTAAGAGAGATCAGGAAGAACTGAGAGGAGAAAGGTGGCTCAGAGGCCTGGCACATTGTTTTTCTGAAGATGCACGTTTTATTTGAGAGATGTGTCTTGTTTAAACTCATACTTGATAGTGAGAG